CAACCTAAAAGCGATAGCTTCCAACCTACTAGCGATGGCCTCCAACCAAAGAGCGATGGCCTCCAACCTAAAAGCGATAGCTTCCAACCTACTAGCGATGGCCTCCAACCTAAGAGCGGTGGCTTCCAACCTATGAGCGATGGCCTCCCACCAAAAGATATTGTCCAACAAAAGCTTGTCCAAACACTTGAATTGCAGCCAACTGGCACTGTGTGAGCCACCTGCGCTGAGGGGTCAGTGACTTGAAGGCGCAACCGCGCACAAAATCCCCTTTGCAAATGGTAGGGCTTGACAAACAGGGACATCAAACGGACCATGGAACTAAGACAACAGCAACAAAAATGATTCTTGCTATTATTTCCGGCCCCGTACAGCCAATGACAGAACGTGTTCGTTTTCACAGAATGAAGCCACTAATGCAGCCCCTGGCAAGATCTATAAAGGGTCTCACAGACAAAAAGTGTCTAGGTCCGTGAGGCTACCCGTTCGCCTTGAAATGCAGGACGGATGGAAGGCATGCCGACATGGCAATTGAGCAACTTGCACCTGACGCGTCGTCGCTGAAACCGCCGTCTGCGGAACTGGCCGTCGCTGAAACCGCGATGCGTGAAGACTGAGATCCAGTCATTGGGTGCCACCTCTGCCAAACAAATGCCACACCTGAGAAAATTGAAAAAAGCTCCCTTGGACTCCTATAGCAAGGGTAAGTCAAGACCACGTACAAAAATATAAACATGTCACGAGCCCAGTAGTGAGGGGTACCTAATGATGAATATATACATATATATAATATATAACAATGCATGAATGTTGTGCTATTGACTCATTGACCCGATCATACATACTAGTAGGTCAATTTCCGAGGCTCCCGGCTGTGTACACTCACATTCTTTGGCGAGCTGACGAGGCAATTTCTCCACCTCAGTCAGCACCAAGTTCCAGCTGCAATTCCTGGTTTCTTAAACATTGTGATACATTGTGAAACCATGTGGATCTGTTTGACGTGAATATCTGGATTTCTTTAGAAGTGCTGAGATCCATGCACTTTGTCTGCCCATGGTATTCTTTTTGGAAACCCGTTCATCGAGTTTATTCAGAAGGTCGTAGTCCTCAAGATGCATTTCTGTCTCTTTGACTCAAACAAAAAAAATACAATTCTAGAAGGCCTCCAACCTACTAGCAATGGCCTCCAACCTAGTAGCGATGCTTACCTAATAGCGATCTTTATCAGCGCATCTCAATGTGACACATCGAACTCAAGCGGCCTCGGGATTTAAATCTCTGTACATGAGCTCTATGACCTTGAAGCAAGATTCTCTTGGAAACAGTCTTGCACAGGGTATTAACACATCGTTGATACATACAGGTCATTTAACAGTAAATAGATTGATTCCTTGCCTCCTCTTGGAAAAGTCCACATGGAAGGATAATGTCATGATAGCCATCTCCATCAGGAAGACCTCTCAGATTCCAAAATGGAACATCACGCAACCTCCGAAACCAGTAACGCCAGTTGTAGGTGAGGCACTCTTTTTGTTTCGACTGCTCCATACATGCAGCATCAATCGTGACTCTCCTCTCTCTTTCGTGCACCTGGAGCCTCAAAGTGCCGCCCCCGCTGCAGCAGCGATACGCCGTGGGAGCGCCGGCGGCTTGAGAAACCTGCCGTTCGGCACCGACGAAAACGCCGCGGCGACCCCGCAACGCGCAGCGAAGCATCGGCGAGTGAAAGAACGCACAACCCCTAGTAGCGTCTTAATTCTTGTTCATTCTCATTTCTAGTAGCTTCTAGTAGCTTCTTGCTCCTAGTAGAAGGCCAGGAGCCCCTAGTAGCGTCCTTGCTCCTGATAGGATGTCCCTGTCCTGGAAATGGACGCCCACTGATAGGAACAGCACCAGGAACCGTGCCAGGAACGGCACCCTGCGTGTTTCCACAGAGTTTTGATGTGAAGGATTGAGAAAGAATGTTGACATGCTGTGGAACACTTCATTCGACACTGAGGTTTGGAAAATAAGTGAACTTTGGTCACTTCTTGGCTGCGGGTCTTTTCTGCAGCAGTGAGTCGCTGGTCTTTCGAAGTATTTCAACAACAAATGGTGTCCAAGTCATCGTTTCGAGCGATGCGGCTTTGCCGCAAGGCCAACAAAAGCATGTCCGTAGCGGACACCTCAGCAATTGACTTAAATGCACTGCTACACATAAAACCTTCTCATTTTCACACAGCCCGACATGTGCGGCCCGCGGTCTTTTGGAAAATATGTCTACACTGTGGAATGAACTGCAGACTCCATCACCCCGCATCACCAAACAGAAAAAAAGGTTGCCTGCCATGCATCAACTTCTGCTGACATGGCTAGATGACATCGTCCAATGCAACACTCAGTTGCACAACGAGCAAACAATTATGGCCTGATGGATGCATGTACTCTTTGGCTTGCCCAGGGCCTGGACCAAACTCCTAGCAAATGGCCCACTGTTTCAACGGTGACCAGAAAACACAAAAATAACTCGACAGAGTGCGTGAAATGTACTTGTGTGCAGTTGCCTCCGCGTGTCGAAGGTGCGATGCGTTTGCGCGCTAATGCTTTTTCCATGCCGAGTCCGAAATATACTGCACCAACACATATGTTTCCAAAACTGAATCGCGCTAGCAGGTGAATGGCAGCCGGGGGTGGGGGGACTGATCCATGTCACGCCCCCTAACAGCCCTTCCACTTCGTGGGGTCTCTAAAATCTTTCAGGTGCCAAAACACGCAGAAATAATCCGCCCGCACCGTTATCAGAGATTGCAAAACATGCAAGCCTATTTTTGTTCTGGCGTGTCCTTGGAAAGCGGTCGAAAAATGAGCAAACAATCGGTGATGTCGGAATTGCTGCCCAAGTCAAAGTGCATTATTGACATCCTGTGTGCTTGCTCCGGTGGCCCTCCTGAAAGAGAAACGAGAAGACTATTGATGATTAAGTTGTTGAACACAACACGCTTAAGGTAGGTATATACCAGTGTAAGCGATGTCGAAGACGCAGTGAGGGTAGCGCAGACTATGTTTTGGTCAAATAGGCGATCAACATGGTGAAAATCGTCGGACCATGTGAATGTGGAATAGCTTGCCGGACCGTTTTCGCTTGAACCCTGCAATAGTTTTTTCCCGGCTCAGAAAGCACAAGTAGCTGTGCCGGCGGCTTCGACCGCGAAGCGGTGTGAATACAAAAACTGCAAAATCAAAAACGGATGGAAAAAAAGGAACCTAATCAGTTGTTTGGGTGAGACTGCACCGATGGCAAGAAGGGAAATAACAGCTACGAGTCACGATGACCGCCTTTCAGCGGCCGGTAGTCTGAAACAGTCTTCGAGTGTTGTGGGCCTTATTCCATGTCAAGCCAAGTGCCTGGATTTGGCGTTTTGCTTGGGATGTGTTCCTCACACTGTGTGTTCGAACTTCACGCCCCAAAGCACCCAACTCGCAAAGGAAAAAGGAAAAAAAACATGTCCCATGCACAAAGACCTTGGTAAAAAGACTCCGATAAGCTAAAATCAATCCCCGAATTGCAACGCACAGACGCCAAAAGCACCATAAAAAACAAAAACAGTGCTTTTCGTTCGCTGCTGTTTGATAGTTGCAAACACAAAGTCGCTGGGCATTGCGTTGAGCAGCGATGCTTTGCAAATCGCAGTGCGCGTTATAAGTTCTCTGACGGCACCACTCAGTGGCACTGCTATGGCTTCTGTGACCCTCCTCCAACCTTCCCTATTACTTCAACACTTGTTACTCAACAGTTACATGCGCTGAAAACGTGTCACCCACCAACCCCCGCAAGTTGCGGATCTTGTGTGGTAAACTGTAACACTTGTTAAAGCAAAGTTTCACCCACCAACTCCCGAACTGCAGCCGGGAACTCGTACCCGTGTAAGACCAATGCTTTTTGTCCACACTTTTGACCGCACCATCTTGAAATGAGAAGGCTGCAAATGAGACTTTGTTTGGTCATTGGGACCGACATTTTTGTTGCTGGGAACTTTACTTGGCCGGCTTGAATAATGACTCGGTCTTTTTGTGCACCTGGCATGTACATGTTTGCTGTCACTGGCTTTCAAGCAAATCAACAACAAATCGGATACCTCCAGACCACCGTAACATACAATGCCAGATCTTTATGTTGATGGTTTGGTGGGCATTGTTGACCTATGCCTTGCCTTCATGAATTCATGTTGGTCCTCTGTCTGCGGAAATACCACAGCTGCGCCGTGATGTGTATACAAAGCTTTCTGTCAGACTCTTTGTCTGTGTGATCAGCTCCGCTCACGCCGAGCTATCAAGCTCGGGGACGTGCCCCAATTGTCCGCGTTAAAGGGGGTAGTAGCGTTCTTGCTCCTAGTAGTAAGGCCAAGAGTCCCTAGTAGCGTCCTTGCTCCTAGTGCTACTTTAGCGTATGCATTAGTGAGCCAAGGGCTCAATTCTTTCTTCCAACTCTTTACAATGCGGCTGATGTATGCCTCTGATTGCAACTTGGACCTATTTTTTCGGGGGTCTTGCCAACTCTCGTCGGTAACACATTCAAGAACACGCTATTGTTGTTCCAAGATATTCTGACAAAATGCTGCGGTGTGCTCGTATTAAAATCCATATGGTGGAGTATGCGCACACTTGTCTTGACCGAGAATCTCTGGGGCTGCTTGAGAAATGTAAGTGAGGATTTCTAGAGCGCTTTGTAATGGCTGCGAGGTTGGCGCTGGAGACTGCACGCTTTGACACGACATGGCTTGACATCATCAACACGACTTGACATGACGAGTGACATGACGTAACTTATATAACTTGAATGACGGTAGCTTCTTGTTACTACTAGTAAGGCACCTGTTACTACTAGCGTGGCACCTGTTACTAGTAGTAGCTTGTGCGTGTATGTGATGTACGAGGGCCGAGTCCGCGACCGAAGAAACCTCTGGATCTGGATGTTTCTTTGGAGGGAAGTGTGCAAACGAAATAAGACCCGGTTCATGCAATTTGGACTGAAAGAGCCTCTGTCCAGACTTGCTTGTCACATTGTTCGGCCTTCTTACAAGAGAAACATCTGGAAACACTGAGAAACCCACAATGGGCCAACAGAAACAAAGCTTCTCCAAGCTCTTCCCACTTCGGAAGAGCATCATTGTTTGTATACAAAGCATCAAGTCCTCGTCCGTGGACTGCATGAGTGGGGGTAGCTCCCCTGCCACAGCCTCCTTCTCCTGGGCGACCGAGGCACCACGATGAAGTGTGCACGCGTATGAGACATCAGATAGGAAGTCAAAAGAAACGAAGAGGAAAAAGGTTCTGTTCGGTCAAGACAGAAACAAAAAGGATCTGTTCCGGTTCGCTCCTCAAGATACCATGGCTTCACCACCTGACAAATTCGCGAGCCTATTTCTGCACGAAACAGCAACACACAAAGCGCTTTGAAAGGAAGGCTTTGGAATTGGGTGAATTGCTTCTCTCTGTCATATACAATTTTGAATCCAGGCCGACCTGCAACCACTGGAAGACCCTTGTGGCGCGGTATGAATTCTGAGCTCGATCAGGATGCCAATCTGTGATCAAAGCCTGACAAGCTGACAAACAATGCAAGAGTGTCAGGAAGCACTTGCAAAACCATGCAAAACCCTCAGGATCTACATGCGATTGCTGAATACACAGGGACATATTCCAGAATCGTTGTGTACAGAATTGGCATTCATGTTCTGAACTTTATACGAGAGGCAAACACATGTTCTTGCACATACTTTTCGCTCTAAGGTTGGAGGCCATCGCTCTCGGGGTACTCTTGCACGCACTGTTTGGATCTCGATTCTCCGGCCTTGAAAATCTTGTTGCGGTTCCGCAAAGACTGACCCTTGCTGGTGCTCAAGGCGTCAGCCACCTTTGGCGAATCACGTCACAAACGTCTCCACTTTGGCGAATCACTCAGACAGTCTAGAGAAGATATAAAGATCAATCGACATGAGATATGCAAATATTCACTTTACTCAACGTACTACTAAGATCTCACATGTTTTTTGTGGTTGATGCCTTAAAATGAATTCCAAGGCATCAACATCAACCACAAAAAGTCCGAAAAGTTTTTGTGGTTGATCTCCATCGCACAGGTCCAATGCCTTCTGCAATTCCAAGGCCAACTCAGGATCTCCTTGCGCCACCTGGCTTATCCGGTGGCTTGCCACATGCACATTGTCAGTGCCAATCAAACTGCAACTGAGAACAATGAGGTAAACCATACTTGGGAGAACCTGATTCTTGAAAACTCCTATAATTGATTGACCATTGTAGCTGCGTGTATGCTAAGCGCGCCAGCAGGACTGTGTCCCATCTGGGCATCTCACCCTCACCAAAGCTGTCCTCCTCGTACCTGCAAGAATAGGTCACCTGTTGCCAATAGCAACAAAACATAACACGAAGCTTTTGGGTTGTTCCTGGAAAGTCTTTTTTCTAGCCTAATACACCCTATTAGGTTGGAGGCCGCTATTTGTCCAAACAATGCCCAACGGACACCACGGGCCGAGGCTGCGACGTGTGGTTCAAAGTCTCACGAAGTGGACGTCCATGGACAGGATCGAAAGGCGGCTTGTAAACTCAGAGGACCGGGGTTCAAAGTTGGAAGCTTGGGCAAACATTTAAAAAAAGGCACAAAAGGACACATGATGAAAAAAAACAAAAACAACCATGCAATTATCTATCTACAGTAATACTATGTGTTTATAAAGTCTAAAAAGATCTGGAAATTGGGTCTCCGGGCAACCATCGTCCATTTCTCGTTTCACCCGTGGCCCTGCGCTATGCCGGGTCACCGAGCCATGTTCACTCGTGGCAGGCAAAACTCCACGTGCTCGGAGCAAGGCCGCCTGAAGACGTGCAGTCAGGATCATGCAGAATCTAAGTCCAAAAAGAAGCCTAAACCGCGGAACAAACATGGTCCAAAAGGGTCTAAAATAAGGGAAATACTAGAAGCTCGTCTGGGGAAAAGAATGGAAAAGGAAGCAAAAAGGATGCCCAACACCGTAGGTTCTACTCCCTCAGTCTACCGCAATTTACCACACTCGCTCCCCCTCTCTTCCTTTCTGCCTCCTCTCCCGACCCTCTCTCAATCGCTCTTAATTCCAATCAGTTCTTTCCCTTTAGCACCGAACCGCGTGAGGATGCTTCTTCGCAATGGTGACATCGTACCTGAAACGAACTCGTGCTTGGGCTTCGACCTTTTAGGAGGGTCCTTTGACCAACGCGTGGGCAAAAGAGTGTCCCTCAAGCCCAAGCTGATCTAGTTGCAAAAGAGATCGGGTTTCACCGTGACGGATTCAGAGTACTCAAATCACTCTGACTCCTTGGATTCGTGGTATATCGTACTCGTCGTACTGATCCACAAGCAAGAGTGGTCAATCTAAGTCGATGGCCTCCAACCTACTAGCGATGACCTCCAACGTAATAGCAAACTACATTAGACCTGTTTCTACTAGCGATGGCCTGCAACCTGCATGGCATCCAGCAGGCAGGGCCCCAGGATGCCCCAGGGCACGCGGTGTAGTAGTTGTAAATTTCGCCTCGGTGCGAACAATCACGGTCGACATGGCAAGACTTGAGCTCGCTTCTTTGCTCCGTTCGTAGCGATGCCCGGGTTCCTAGTAGCGCTGCCAGGAGCTCCTAGTAGTAAGGCACTTGTTACTAGAAGCGATGCACTTGTTCCTAGTAGCTTCTTGCTCCTGGTAGTACGGCCAGGAGCCCCCAGTAGCGTCCTCTTGTTTCTAGTAGCGATGCCCTTTGCTCCTAGTAGCTTCTTTCCTAAATTTAACCAAACATAGACACTAGCCCTGATGAAAATGACATAACTTGTAAAATTCATGACGCACCAAACTCTACCAGGGGACCATTATTCTTGAAAGCAGCTTCATCAGACTTCATCAGACACACTGCACCATCAAAACGCATTGTGCTACTCTAGAGTCTCGCGATGTCTTGCACTTGTTCCTAGTAGCTTCTTGTTACTAGTAGCGTCCTTGTTACTACAAGTAAGGCACCTGTTACTACTAGTAAGGCACTTGTTACTAGAAGCGATGCACTTGTTCCTAGTAGGCTTCTTGTTCCTAGTAGCTTCTTGAATGGGTAGAAGTACTCTGACTTTGACGAGCCGCTGGCTGAGCATGTTAAGATTATGTGTTTCGTGACACCAAGCTCACAGGATCAGCCAAGTGGCTATCGTTGAAAGCGCAGCAGCAAAGATTCACGTCAATCTGCGGATGATTAAATAGAACCTGCCACTTGTAAAAGGTCGGAGGCCATCGCGTTTAGGTTGGAGGCCATCGCAACAAGGTTGGAAACCATCGCAATTAGGTTGGAGGCCATCGCTATTAGGTTGCAGGCCATCCCTCTTGAGTTGGAGGCCATCGAAATTAGGTTGGAAGCCATCGCAATTAGGTTCGAGGCCATCGCTATTAGGTTGCAGGCCATCCCTCTTAGGTTGGAGGCCATCACTATTAGGTTGGAAACCATCGCTCTTAGGTTGGAGGCCATCGCTCTTAGGTTGGAGGCCATCACTATTAGGTTGGAGGCCATCCCTCTTAGGTTGGAAGCCATCGCTCTGAGGTTGGAGGCCATCACTCTTAGGTTGGAGGCCATCGCTATCAGGTTGGAGGCAATCGCTTTAGTAGCTTGCCACTAGAGTCACCAGAGCTGAGCTGTCAAGTCCGCAACATGTGAAGAGGAATCTACTATCTACTATGCTTACCTTAGGGAATGCACGTCACTCCCCCATTTGCGACGCTGCCTGTCATTACAGAGCCTCTACACAATACGCAGCGTGAAGCACCATGCTCTTGTCGTTTACTATCGATGTTTTCAATTTCGAAGTAACCGCAGCGCGCCTTGATCACTTCACAAGCCCCATACTCCGCAGCAACCACCAAAGGTGTGATCTCTTCGTAAAATTCCAACCTGACCAGTCGACAAGTGATTACATTTTTGGTAGTAGCGCTTTGTTCCTAGTAGCTTCTTGTTACTAGTAGTATGGCCAAGAGCTACTAGTAGCGTCCTTGCTTATAAGCGGCTAAGTCCATTCCAAAAGGCCTACTAATGTGGAGTGCCACCAAAGTTGTGGCGAAGGGTTCTCGTTTAACTCTGGGGGTCTGGGGGTAGAGCCTTGTTCGCGACTTGTTGTCTGAGCGACCGCAACCGTCTGCAACCGTCCGCGGTAGGGCGCTAAGGCGCTGCCATTGGGGGAAGCGCTTGGAGAGGGTTTCGGATGGAAACGTGACGTGTCAAATCCATGTGAAATAGCGAGGAACGGTATGGAACCGAAAGATGTTGAAGTGTGGAGGATGATTTACAGTGCGCAGACGCAGCGTTTTGTGAAGTTCGCAGTTTTCCGCGCAGTCACATTGGGATTAGCGTTTGGAGAATGGCGTTTTTGGGGAGTTGGATGTGGCTGTGACATTGGGATTTGCGTTTCAGGGTGTTGCATCGAAGCTCTGTTTTCGTGACGCGTCTCAGCTGAAATGGCGATTTTGTTGGATGGGAGTGTGCTCAGAACGTGTCGAAACCATTCCAAACGTGTGGTGTGGTGCAAATTTTGTTGAAATATGATATTGTCACTTTTCGTGGCAGGCGCAAGGCGCAATACTTTGTGCGGGCTTTGAGGTGTGGAAATGCGATTTCAGGAAGGGTCCCGAATCGATTCGGAACCGAACTTTCGAAACCGAAAGTCAGCGAATGTCAAGAACCAAAATTTTTCATCAACCGAATCATTACAACCGTCAATTTTCCAAACGCAACCGAACCGAAAAGAAAAACGAACCGTTCAGCTCTGTTCCGCTGTGACGTTTTTTCAGACTGTCCAAAGTCTTGAGTTTGAGAGCAGCAGTCCCCCACTGGAATGTCCATACAGCATGTCACTGGCCCGGCCCGGCTTCAGGCGCATTAATAAAATGCTTTCCTTTCCTTTTCCTTTTCATATTGACAAATTGTATTCCTACCTGTCCATGTCCATTTCCTTTTCGTTTCCTTTGCTTTCCCCGACATTGTCCTTTCCTTTCCTTGTCCTTTTCCTTTCCAATATGCGTTTTAGACTGCCAGGAAAAAGCATATTGACGAATTGCATACCTTACCTGCCCTTTTCCTTTTCCTGTCCATTGCTTTGCTTTCCTTTCCTTCCTTTTCTTGGCATTCCTTTCCAATATGCTTTTTGGAAGGCCTGGAAAAAGCATATTCGCAAATCGCATTCCTTCCCCTGGCTTTTCCTTTTCTATTCTCTTTCTTTGCTTTCCCTTCCTTTTCTTACTTTCCTTAAAATAGTTACATTCCTTTTCTTTCCTTTTGCTTTCCATTTTCACTTTTTCTCCTCCTGTCCTGTCTTGTCTGTAGTCTATAGTCTAGTCTTGTCTTGTCTCTTTGTTCATTGCCTTTCTTTTCTTTACCCCACGGCGAACTTATACCTCACAGAACCGAAACGAACCGTGAACCGAACCGAAAGTCCATGAAAAAAGACTTCTACAACCAAACCGAACCGATTTGAAGTTTCAAGTAGACATTCAAACCGATTCCAACCGAACCGAAACCTTACTGGATTTTCGTGGCAGGCGCAGGGAAGCGTGAAGTTGCGTGGCAAGCGCAGGGAATCGTGAAGTTGCGTGGCAAGCGCAGGGAATCGTGAGGTTGCGTTGTGGTGGAGGTGAATGTCGCAGTGACATTGGGATTGGCGCGTGCGCCGGCGTTGTTTGGAGGGGCTGGAATCGCGAAGCTGCTTTGCAGGGCTGCTTGATGTGTGTGCTTCGATGGGGGTTCCCGCTTGACTTTTGGAGGAAGTCTCGCACAAAAAGCTCGCTTTGGAGACTTTGACATGTGACTTTGGGAGGAAGTCTTGAGCGAAACGCTCGTTTCGGAGGATTGACGCGCGACTTTTGGAGGAAGTCTCGTACGAAACGCTCGCTTTGCAGACTCGACGTGTGAGTTTTTGAGGAAGTCTCGTTCTGGAGACGTGGCGGTTGACTTTTGGAGACTTTAGTAGCCCCCACAAGAGTGTCCCACAAGTGTCCTATACAGGACTGTCCCACAAGAGTGTCCTACAAAAGTGTTCGGCAAGAGTGTCCCACAAGAGTGCACAAGAGTGTCCCACAAAGCGTTCCGAAAAGAATGTGTCCTACAAGAGCGTCCCACAAAAATGTCTCCTACAAGAGTGTCAAAAATTGTTTGGGTGTTTGTTTTCGAGCACGTGTTTGCATTCGGGTTCGTGGGTTCCATCTTGTTTAGTTTAAGTGAACATCCAACGGCAGCGAACACCGCTGTTTTCACCTGCCTGGTGTCTGAAATCGCCCAGGAGTCTTTCCGGACCTGCCACACGGTCCCATCTCCCGATAAACATGATAAACAGACGTGCACACAACTGTGCGCATAAAAAACATACTGCATTTGACTTGTCCAAAATGAGCAAGTGTTCTTGTTGATATGGCAGTTACCATAGTACAGGGTGAAGTCAAAGACCGGAGGCCCAATTTGAGTGGCAAGGGTCAAAAAGCGTTCTTTGTGACGCTGGGGTCTTAAGACATTGGCTGAACTGAAGAATATCAAGACTGAATGGAACTGATTACGGACAACATGTTTGGTGCAATTGTTTAGATCCTAATTTTCCCCAAGCACCACTAGCTCTAATCAAAACTACGCATGGGTATGCTACGGATCTCTATGTTCCACCAGTGTCGACTAGGTGTGCGTTCCGAAGCTTTTCTTCTCATTTGTCGCTGCTCCAAACGTCACTGAGTTCTTGACATGAATGTAATTGGGATCTGCACCCTTGACCTGGCATATCAAACATCAACTCCGCAGCCCTGTCTGCCTCAAACAAGAAAGCAAAGAGAGAAAGAGAGAGAGAGAGAGAGGAGAGAGAGAGAGGAGAGAGAGAGAGGAGAGAGAGAGAGAGATAGAACTTCGAGAACATAAAAACGAATTGGTCTTCCAAAATACCAATCTCAAGTTCGCAGGCTGCTCCTCAAGCATCTCTCGAACCTCCAAAGCAATGAAGAGTGCAATCGCATCCGTGACTGATCGTGCGTCTGATCCCGTTCTCTCATGGCCTCCAACACGTGATTTTTGGCAGCCTCGGGGGCTGCTTAGTAAAGTGTTACATGAGAAACCTCATTGCGAAGCTTGCTTTGTAAATGAAGTTCTACACAAGGAACATGATCCAAAATGGCTGGCATCTGCCGCATAGCGTAGTTGGCCCGAACGGACATGGCCTCAGAGAGTCTTCATTCGGACGGTGCTGTGCCGTGAATTTGCAGGTTCTTCAGGTTCCTCTCCCGAGGATCTTGCAGCACTTGCTGAGCTTCGGGATGGAGATGCATCGTCCTATGCTCCGTGCACTCCAAGCTTCTTAGAGGGTCATGAATCTCTGCACCAAGTTACTTGGTAACTACTTGGGCCCTTTGCATAAAGCGCGCCAGAGATCTCAGCGCTTTTCTTCACTCTCACTCTTCTATGCTGGGTTTGTCAATCGGATTGACTGACAGCTCGAACTGAGCAATGGGCCGATGTCCACAGTAAAATTGTTGACATATTATATATTCTAGTTGTTTCTTGTCGATTGGACCGAAAACAAAACAGCACAAAGCACCGAAAAGTGCAGCTAAACTACGTGCAGCTAAAAGCTGCCAGCTAGATCAGCTAGTCAAACCTTGTGGATCTTTGGCTCAGATTTAACACGCTTGCGACAGCGCCCTGTACATGGCAAAGGTGAGGACGGTGAGGATGGCATCGCGAGGATGCGCAATCACTGGGAAACGCTCTGCTGCTTCCCTTTGTAGTCGGCAATGGCAGCCTGGGAGATTTCCGATCGACAAAGCTCCAGATATTCCATTGGTCTTGATGTTGAGGTTGAAAAAAAGACATGGATACATATCATATGTCCCCCTTTCAGAATCATTCCAAAATACACATACAACAGCTAATTAAGACATTCCAAATGGGTTCTTGGAGAGGCTCCAAAAGGGTTTTAACGGGTCCTCGGTCCTAAAGTCCACGACACAGCATGACATGGGACGAGTTCAAGAAAGTACTTTCTGTAACACATTTAGCCGTTTTTGAGGTTAAGAACGCATAAGCACGTTTTGGACTTAGCTAACAAATTCTACGAGTAACAAAATGTGTTCATGTGATCCAAAATGATTGACAAGCGCCTTCTTATCTGTTTCTTACAAGCATGCTTTCAATTCGCCACATGTTTCTGGGCTGTCCATATTTCTTCGTGCTCTTGCGGCTCTTCTGTTTGTTCATGGCCTGGATTGCTTCCTCTGCCAGCACGGAGCAATGAATCTTCACTGGAGGCAGCTTAAGGTGCGAGGAGATATCAGTATTCTTGATCCTCGGAAACCAGAATAGTGATAATTAAGCCTTGAAACAGGAGGTCTTTTTAAAGGGGACATCAAGTAACCCTCTGCCTAGGTTGGAGGCCATTACAACTACTAGAAAAAAAACTACTAGGTTGGAGGCCATCGCTATTAGTAACCCTTGCCCGTTTCTTCAAACAAATCAAAACACAAAGCACTAAGTGCGAAAGACTAAGTCATGCACTTGCTTGCCTCAGGCACATCGGATCTACAAACACACGACGACCTTGCCGTTTGTTAATCCTGTAAGGACTTAGATGAAAAAACAAAGATCTTTTTGCGAAGCAAAAGGCTTTCACTTGAGATGTTCTTCTCAGTGCGGGGCAAAAAAACACAACACCATGTTGCAAAGCGGAAAGTGAAACAAGCGAGAACGCCTCGTCCACCTTCTGTCCAATAATCATCTCCGTCGCCTTGGAAAAGGCCGTGGAACTGTTTACACTCCAAGTCAGGCTGTGTATTTGAGACACAAATAGTAATATTTAGAATTTATATGGCAAGGCGACGTCACTGAAAAATATCAAGGAAGACATGTTAACTTGCTGGATGTTCATACGCTGTCATAGTTGAGTCTGTGACATTGCCCTACTGCATTTAGCCAAAGCCCACGTCTGTACGAAAGTCCAAGCCTAAGGCATTCCTTTTGGTGGCAGGGGCATGCAAGGGCAACATAAAGCGTGTGAGCCCCAAAGCCTTTGAACAGCTTGTCATCAGGTGTCTTTTGTCATTCCAAACCTGATGTCGCGTGGTCAAACGTTTCCCATGTTAGTAGCATTGTCCTGAAAAAGAGGTCTTGGATCTCTTTGGTTGGTGAAAGTCTTAAAGGAGACCAACACCTTGATTTGGATTTCCTAAACAAAGACTTCGCTCAAAGTGTCTACCTTGCTTGGGCTGGCATGATTCCTCTCTCAAAGAATTATTAGTCTTTTCTTAATTCACACCGCTTCGCGGTCGTAGCCACCCGCACGGAGAGTGTGCGCCTGTCTGTCTCGGTCGGTCTGCACAGGGGCAAGCACACAGGATGTCATTAATGCAATGTCACTCGGGCAGCATAACCGACATCACCTACAGATCGCTGAGTGTTCGTCCGCTTGCAAAAAAGCTCAAGCTAAAGCTTAAGCTATTTGCTATCCAGCAATTCTAGCGGTGAGTACGCGAACCCCCTGACATCGCCTCAGCACCTTTGGTGCGGGCGGATTTGTTTTCTTTAGCCTGTCTTTGTGGGGCGTTTAGATCTCAATTTTGACTCGTTCTTTCTTCTACAGCTTTGTTTTGTCTTCACTGTTCCCAACCTTGATCCCTGTAGAGGACGGTCAAAAACTAACGTTCCCATACGGGCCATGTCTTTTGTACTGAAGAACGAAGTTCTGTTGAGTTTCTCCAAGCGTTCCTAGACAAGGTTTTGACTTTGCCATATGCTATTAGGTTGGAGGATGTCATCGCTAACCCCCGGCGGGGGGGAGCTTCCTTGAAGAAGCGCGAGCTATCCTGCGTCCTGTCGGTAGTAGCTTTACTTGCAGGTAGTAGCTACCTAGCGACCTCCGCGGCCTACCCCCCCACCCACTAAAAGAAGAAAGAAAGCACCTGTTACTAATAGCTTCTTGCTACTACTAGCGATGCACCTGTTACTACTTCAAAAAAAAAACACAACACCTCTTTTAAAATGCAACTCATACACAAATACTTCCAGCACTCTGTGGCCTCCAGCATATCATACCCGGTGACTGCTGGTGCCCAAGCACAATTGTCACACATTCACCTTCGAGCTAAGGCAACGACGTAGGAAGAGCTCGCAATAGCAGATCCACACCCAAAAGTCTTGAACTTGGCATCCTGGGGATGTTTGGAATCTCCACTCTCTTGTCATGTGTTCCTTGGCTTCAACCATCGGACACTGCGATTTAGGCTGTACATGAGCTTGCTTGAAAACGTGTGCGCCTCGATCACTCCATCTTTGCTCACCTTCACCTGCAGGATGTTCTGTTTGCCAATTGAAACTAGTTCTTTCAATAATGCAAAAACTGAGAGAAAAGTAGGACAAAACAAACAACTGGGTAAGGCGAATAGTTTAACGTCTTGTTTACATGCTTCGAAACATGCGACATCATCGAAGGCCTGCAGCTTAATCACATCACCACAAGACGCTTTGCCCACCAAGGCCGAGCCGACATTGCTGTCCTGTAAACAGTTTCGTCACAAAGCTGCTAGCGATGGCCTCTACTTGAAAAAGACTAATGACTAAAGGCCTTCCATGGATTGAGGATGCAGATCTGTTTGAGAAGGAAACATGTGATTGTTCGACTGGAAGCGCCCAGTCGGTTGTCTTGCTCTGTTCGTAGCAATGATCTTTGTTACTAGTAGTGTCCTTGTTCCTAGTAGTAAGGCCAGGAGCTACTAGTAGCTTCTTGCTCCTACGTTGTCTTCTGCTTCATCATAGTCATAGTCCTCTTTGTCGAGGCTGCCCACATTCCGAGGATTGTTGAAGTGGTCGTGAACCACCTCATGATAGCCTGCGCAAAGAAGCTACTCGGAGCAAAGGGCATCGCTACTAGAAGCAAGAAGCTTTTAGGGGCTCCTGGCCGTACTACTAGGAGCAAGGACGCTACTAGTAGCTCTTGGCATGTCTACTAGGAGCAAACATGACTCTTTTGCCATTTGCCGCTTGAACACATCATGCTTGGCGGGTTCACCCGAAGGGTTTTAACAGATTTTGGACTTAGCTACCTGTCACGGGCACTTACAAAAAAAAAAACTCCAAAGTGTTACTGTAATTACAGTAATGGCTTCTCAATGTCAGTATTCATAATGGTCCAAAGAAAAAGCACTTGAAAAGAACGACAGGTCGCAAAATAAACATATAATATAAAGGATCCAGAAAAAACTTTTAGAACTGTAAATGAAGAACACACGCAAACAAAAAACTAAAGTCTTAAGTTCAATGATTCTTCAACTTTAAATGAAACAGAAACATTTAACGTGCCTCTGCGAACTACCAAGGCAGCCCGGGGAACTGTTTGCCTTGCTCCACGGCGCATCCTGGCGTCCAAGCCCCTAGTAGCGTCCTGGCTCCTAGTAGCGATATGTAGCGATGCCCTTTGCTCCTAGTAGCGTCCTTGTTACTAGTAGTAAGGCACTTGCTTCTACTAGCTTCTTGTTACTAGAAGCGATGCACTTGTTCCTAGTAGTGTCTTTGCTCCTAGTAGCGATGCCCTTTGCTCCTAGTAGCTTCTTGCTCCTAGTAGCGATGCCAGGACCCCCTAGTAGCGTTCTTGCTCCGTTGGATATCATCCTCACCGGCACGAGAAACGTTTCCAAACCACTTGAAGTTCCCAATCCACTAGTACAACAAGCATGCTGCAAGTAACACCCCGTAGTACGTTCTGGATTCGGCCATCCTACTGAACAAACAAGCATTTATTCACTGCCCAATTCTGATGAAACAAAAGAAAAACATGGAAACACACTCAGTTCTGTCAGTGAAAATAGATTGTTCTTTCTTGATAAGGCAAAAACAAGCTGGGAAGGCATCAAAGACATCGCCATGGTGTGAAACCCGAAGGACTGGTAACACCGGCAGCTACGTGGCCCGAAGGCAAAACGGCTGAGCACGGGACATCTATGGCAGCCATGGACAGATCACGAAAGTAATCCCAAGTTTTCTTCCTAAACGTTTCTATTTCTATGAATGAAGAGTTCAAGTGTTCGACATGTCGAAAATTGATATTACAAAAAAGTAACACGCCATTAAAGAGCCGGGAACACCCCACATTACTAGTTGTCACAAGGCAAAAATCAAGAACAGAATGTCTGCGGATAGAGCGAGGAGAGAGGATGGTGTCTGTGAGTTGGTGTGAGGGTTGGTGTGAGTGAGTTGGGGTGTGACTTGGTATGAGTGACTTGGTATGAGTGGGCCGGCCAACCAACGACACGCTGCATTTACACGCCTTCTCCTGCTTTACACTAGCGCCAGCTGCTCTTGTGCACGGGCGTGCTTCCTTTCCCTTAGGATCTCGTTCTGGCAGGGCGAGCTGTCCCTCCCAGGCACGAGCGGCGGCGACCGAACGAGCACAGCAGCAGCCCCTCTACAAAGCCGCTGTTGGGAGGTGAGTTGGTGCGTCTCAGTGTGTCTGTGGGCGGAGGACGGGGACGACCCGAGAAAAAAGGAAGAGCCCCACACGTGATCCCCACCGCAAAGTATTCTGATCGCCGACGGCTAGCTTGCCTGAACATCACCAGGAAAGTCTCTATCTTGCATATATTCTGGCATTCTATTATTCTATCTAGTGGTGCCCACTATGATCTGGTACTTGTGGAGGAGGGAGATCTAAAATCCTCACCTGGTACGGGGGGACAAGCAAAAGAGTAGTCCCCAGTTTTCTTCCGTTCAACGTTTCTATGAATGAAGAGTTCAACTGTCCGACAGTTTGACATCTATCATTTCGAGAATTGTAGTTTGTAGCTATCGATGTGTCAACACGCTAAAACGTAAAAACAAAAACCGACAAATGGACAACATGGAATGTTTGAACGTATTGATACGAACATCGAAAATGTCCGAGGCTGCCCTTCGCAACTTGGGAACCCTCAAGTAAGTGGATTCGAGGTTTACCGGTTCCAAGAAGAGAGCACAACTTCCTGATCGGTCCTGACTGCGCATTCGCTCAAAAGCTTTGATAATCTTCCGGTTCTCTTCATCTGCAGCCTGCGCCGACACGGAAAAATAAGGCTTTGACCGTATTATCCTTCAGCAGGGGCACCAAGCTAAAGCTTCAGCCGCCTCTGTCAACGTTGCAGGAAGGTCTGGAATCCCCTCCTCCATCCTTGGACATGACAAAACAGTCTAAAGAAAACCAAGAAAGAACCATCAAGCTCATTCACTAGCTAGTTCGTGTTTTGTCCATTGGAAAGAAAGCTCTACTGACAGAATCCCGTCCAACGGGGATTCGCGCAGTGGATGCCCTGGGCACCCCGCTGCATGAAATCTCTCATCGTCCTATGTAAGTGAGTCTCAAGGGCGCAAAAAGCGATGGCGTCCCACTGAAAGCATTGCAACAACCCTTTGCGTTCTTGTGAATACAAGCCATGGACCTTTCTCAAAAAACGTTCTTCGTTACTGTGAAGGCGTAAGAAAGCATAGTAACATTGGAAAGCAAAGCCAGGTCTTCCCACAAACTGCTCGGGACAAGGTCGGAACCCCGTCGAGCTCCTTCGGACCAGAGTCTTTCCATTGTCACTACGGAAGTGCCACTCATTTACAACCTCGCATTGCCATCACGTACTTCACTTGGGTCCATGACATCGAAAGCAGAATTGAAGAATACTTCTCTTCCTGTGTCTTTTTTTCTTTGCTTCAAATAGCGATGGCCTCCAACCTACTATTCACTACCACTACCATATAGTTTGTCTTTTTGATAGAGGCTACATCACTCCTTCTAAGTTCTAAGAGTCATTCTTGTGATCTTTATGTCCGCTGCCGTGTCCTTTAAATAAATCGTTGGATCGTTCTTTTGTTCCTTCGTATTGAACTTCTGGTCACCCACCCCTTGCAAGACATTTAAGAACGCGATTGTCAAACATGTAAATATCTTATTACTAAAATGAAACACTTTCAGGCATCTGTGGCAGCGGCCCGATAGAGAGGCTTTGACAATACCTTCACGGCACTTGATCGTTGGAAATGAAATGAATAAATGGAAACAAAAAGACAACAACAAAAATCAACAAGAACACTATGCTGTTTTTCTGCAAATAGACTCCATTCCAGTCTATTCCCTTCTACTACACCTTTTTAAGCGGAGTAGACAATACATGTCGCGTCTCACATCACCATAACCTTTCTAGTAGGCTTTGCCTTCACGAACCGTTCTCTCTTCGATTTTGTGTTTCTTCCAACCAATTCAATAAGAACACCTCGAAGGGCAGAGAGTTTAGGTCTTCGACTGACCTATCATGATTGATAGTGACAAAAGAGATGCCACACAAAGGACAAAAGAAAAGCTCTAAACATCAATTCAACCGTGCTTGTTGTTGTGCTTGCTTTCTGGCGCCTAGTTTTTTCTTTCAGCAAAACATAGTAATTGGCTATTTGGACCTCTTGTTTCCGGGACAGTTGTGGGGATCAGATTTTGTTGTACAGGAACGCCTTCTTTTACCAAACAAACCATCTTGCTCCTATAGATGTGTCATGCACCCAGTCCACACACCCAGTCCACTCATCAGGTCTCCCGAGACGGCCATGCTCCCTCCGGCCGTGCCTCCTGTTCCGTGGTCACCTCCAGAGCCTTCTCTTTGGACCCTGCATTGTGACCTGACGGACGAAAAGCCGAGGGGGTCACGAGCGGGGCTGTGCGAAAATCGCCCGAGCCCGAACTATCCGGTTCTGCGCCTACAGTCATTGTCATCCAGCTTCCCATGTCCGCCTGCACAGCCGCATATGCTAATTGTAAAGAGCACCAGGACCAGTAGACTCCTTCAAGCGCGAAGTGACCAGCAGGACAATGCCGTTCACTTGGCGGATCAAGACACGCCTTGTCCAAGACACAAACTCTCAGACAAAAGAGAGCATCTCTTACCCAGTTAGGTTAGAGGCCATCGCTCTTAGGTTAGACACAAACTCTTAGACAGGAGAGGGCTCGGAGAGGGCATGTCTTAAACCCAGTGAGTGATCGGCATCAGCATCTCTTAGCGTCACTCACTGCGTCTCAGGTCTTTGACACAAAGAGTGTCAACGAGACGTCCTATGTGTCGGTGGTGTTGGTGTTCTCTTCGACAACAAGAGTGAAACGAGGTGAGGCCTACGAGGTCGAGGTCTTTTCCTTCAAAATCGCCCCGAGTTGCGAGAAGTGCGACGAGTTGTGTCAAACACAGCTCGCTTAGGTGCTCGCATCTCATCAAGACAAAGGAATGAATCTGCACAAAGATGGTTGTGGTACCTAGGCACCATGGGCAGCTACTCAGCCAGCCAGCTCATACAAATGGCGCACATGTTTGCCGCTTGGTGAGAACCTGAGAACCTCCCTAGTAGGTTGGAGGCCATCGCTACTAGTTGTTTGTGACATGTGTTGAGAGATCGACTGCGTGAGGAGCCCATTGCTGGTGATGCTCCGAAAGGCTTGATCCACGGACACCTGGCTTCCGCCGCGGAACAAGCAGCGCAAAGTCTGGGGGGCTTCGCAAAACGGACACCCAGTCGATCTGGATCGAGGCCAAATGTGTAGAACTGAAGCAGTCTTTTCTTGCACTTCAAAGATTTATGGCTAAGGAAGCTGCCTACCCCACCAAATGTGAAAGCTGTGTCTTGGAAGAACCTCCCAAGACATATCCAACCAATGGGGGTTCATCCACAAGGATGTCTTGAGGGTACTGCCGCTGCCACCCAATTCCGGTGCCGGACTTGAAAGAAAAGGCCACAGAAAGGGAAAGAACAAAAGGTCTAAAGGTCTTAAAGAGAGAAACCAAGGAAGAAGGATATGATATGAAAAGGTATTGGTAATTTATGGTTCCCTGGTCCGTTACCCTTTCCGAAACTCTCCTTTTCTTCCGCAAACCCAACGGCACAGCTCAGCGACCGCCATGTCGAGCTGCTCACCTCCAGTAAGAATGAGGCGCTGTACATCTCCTTACTGTTCACTTCCACCTCAGAGCAGGAAGCGAAAAAACGACCACATGAAGCATATGCATCACATGAGACCTTTCGCCCTTTTCTTGTTTCTTGGCTTTTTTAGCGATGGCCTCCAACCTAGAAGCAATGATGTCACATGTCCAAGATATCCAGAAAAGAAACAGGCCTGACAAATCTGACCGCGCTGAAGATCATGTTTTGCCAAAGCCTAACCGACCACGCTTTCAACAGAAATGCACGAGATGCTCTTCCCATGTTGCAAGACCCAAAACGTCCTTTCTCAGCCTTGTCGGGTTGTACTCTCAGAGCCGAGGTCCATGACTGTCGGATTTCTTCGTTCTCCACCTCCAGCCAGGCCAAGTTGGGCAATGATGCAGTAACGTATACCAACGTAATGATGCCAAATCCACCTCACATACCGTGACCTCACATCAAATGCTGGATCCACTTTTGGCTGGATCCACTTCCACTGTTCGGAGCAAAATATGTTTTAGACTAAGTTAAGTAGGCGCCTACTTGATTGAGGAGGTAAGCTACTAGGCCTCCGTTAGCTTCGTTGATCACCAAAGCAGTGCTCAGCCTCTATGGAGCGGCTCACGGCGTTTAAAGCGTCGAAGTCAAAAATCTCCCACCTTGGACGTCGAGACGTCACGGAGACGAAAGACGACACGAACGTCTCCGTGACGTCGAATGCTTTGCCAAGCTAGCAAGGACGCTAACGGGGCGCTCTTGGCACGAACAAGAAGCTTCTAACAAGAGCATCGCTACTAGTAGCAAGAAACTACTAATAGCGATGGTCTCCAAACTCCTAGGGATGCCCCAAAGAAGTTTCACAAGAATGCTTTCTAGTAGCAGGCCATTTGATCTTACTAGCTACCCTTGCTAGAATGCATAGGCCTGGAACGTCAATCCTTCTTCGCCACCCCTCTGTTGAGGTCAACTCAAAAACTCAACCGGGGCCCATGCTGCTTAAAGTCTCGCACGATGCGGGTAACCCGCGTGCCACCAGCCGGATATGGCTGTAGCTTCCACACACTGGCAGAATAGTGAGCTCTCAATGACCATACATCTGCACATCAAACAATCCTCACTGGTTTCAAGACCCATTAGTGCCCAGGTCTGGCCTCCTGAATGTGTAGAAGGGATGTTTTCGAAATGCTTCCTTACAAAATCGCCCTCACTCACAACCAATTCCAAGAACTTCACTGAGAACAGTTTCCAAATGCTGAGACACTTTACTCTGCACAGTCTTGGCAAGGTCCAGCTTGACTTTTCCAGGCACCTTAAATACTCTTGCGATCTCTTGAGACTCGAAATATCACATCTGGCAAACTGAGACTTGACCAGCTAGAGCAGCATACCTTGGGCTTCATCATGGTAATTTTGAAGGAAACCATCTCATTCTCCACCACCTGAAAGGTAGCAAACGGTGAAACGGCAAAAATTTGGCAACACCCGCTTGGTAGTACGGTTCATCTCTCAAAGTGAATAGGCATGTAAACCCGCTTACAGTTGTGGGTCTCGCACACCATCACGTCGACCTTCAAACGGCTACTTAGAACACCGTTTGGAAAGTTTCTTGGTGTTAGAAGGCTGCTTGCAGCTCTGGGTGCGAAAGGCTATTTGGAAGCAACACTTTTTTGAACCCGTATGATTTTTAAATTGTGAACCAGCCAACGCTATTCGTACGTAGTAGGCCCTCAGTCCTACCACTTAACTACCCGCTTGGAAAAAATGATGCGTAATTGGCTCTTTTCCGGATTGCATCATTTGGCAACTTCAGCTCTGACCGCCTCGGACCCCAGCAGTTCCGTCAGTTGAGCCACGCCGCTGGCCTCAAAGAAAACCAGTCTCTCCGACTGCAACGCTTCGGCTTTGCGAGTGGGTGAGTGAGTGAGTGAATAAGGGAGGGAGGGAGGGAGGGAGGGGGCAGGACATGGCAGGACCTTGAGATGGAAGTTGCGAATCGAACTCTCTTTGTTAAATTTGTTGAAACCAAATTTTCAATTGTGTAACAAGTTCGCTATCACAAGTGACTGCTACAATAAATTCATTTTGGGGTGGAATTAATCCGCCGGAATTCCACTGCAATCCCTTGTAGGATTCTAAGGGGAAAGGGTTGTAGATCTAGGTCATCTATTTACAGGTTTGTTACCAACTGTTGTCCTGTCTGTGTAGTGAGTGGTTGGCATTTCGGACTCCGAAAGAATAATGTTGACTGCCAATTATTAATTCCCCCGGATTAATGTCTGCACGTTTTTTTGGTTGGCTTATTAATCCTCCCGGATTAATGTCTGCATCGGTGTTCTTAGATATTTTTACTATTTTGCGTTATTTTCTATATATTATTGCCTTTACAAGTGTTTCTCTATTGATTGTTTCTATTGTTGCGAAATTACTTTGTTTGCTATATCATTTTACTAGTTTAGGTTGTTGTAAATGTTATTGATTTCTAGCTTCAATTTTTCTTTTGAAAATACATACCGTTAGTTGTTACTCATTTAATGGTAATTTTTTATTATGCAATGTTATGAGTATATTTATATATTTTGCTTATTCCCGAATGCGTAGCGAAGGGTTCTCGTTTAACTCTGGGGGTCTGGGGGTAGAGCCTTGATCGCGACGCGTTGTCTCAGCGTTCGCAACCGTCCTCAACCGACCGCAACCGTTCGCGGTAGGGCGCTAAGGCGCTGCCATTGCGGGAAGCTTTTGGCGTTTTGCATGGAAGCGTGACGTGTCAGATTCGTGTGAAATATCGCGAGGAAACGTGTGGAAACCAGCCGCTGAAGTGTGGAGGATGAGTTCACTACGCAGGCGCAGCGTGTTGTGAGATCAGCGTAGTTTGGAGATGTGTTAGATGTGGCTGCGCCATTGGGATTTGCGTTTCAGGGTGTTGCATCGAAGCTCTGTTTTCGTGGCGCGTCTGAGCGCGATTTGGGGGTGTGCTCAGAACGGGTCGAAACCATTCCAAACGTGTGGCGCGGTGCAAATTTTGTTGAAGCTCACCTGATATGATATTGTCACTTTTCGTGGCAGGCGCACTATATTTTGCGCGGCTTTTGAGGTATGGAAGTGCGATTTTTGTAGCAGGCGCCGGGGATCATGAGGTTGCGAGGTGTGATGGAGGTGACATTTCGTGGCAGGCGCAGTACTTTGCGCGCGTTAGACGCGTGGATATGGAAAGTTTCACAGATCGGGAGGTTGCGAGTTGCGGTGGGGGTGAACGTCGCAGTGACATTGGGATTGGCGCGCGCGCGGGCGTTGTTTGGAGGGGCTGGAATCGCGAAACTGCTTTGCAGGGCTGCTTGATGTGTGTGCTCCGATGGGGGTTCCCACCCACTTGACTTTTGGAGGATGTCTCGTACGAGCTGCTCGTTTTGCAAACTTTGACATGTGACTTCTCGAGGAAGTCTCGTGCGAAACGCTCGTTTTGGAGACTGGGCGCGTGACTTTTGGAGGAAGTCTCGTACGAAACGCTTGTTTTGCAGACTCGACGTGTGAGTTTTTGAGGCAAAGTCTCGTGCGAAACGCTCGTTCAAGAGACGCGACGGTTGACTTTTGGAGCCTTTTTAGTAGAAGTGATCCACAAGAGTGTCCTATCCAGGACTGAGAGTGTCCGACAAGAGTGTCCTACAAGAGTGTCCCACAAGAGTCTCCTACAAGAGTGTCCCGCAAGACTGTCCCACAAGAGTGTCCCAAAAGAGTCTGACAAGAGTGTTCGGCAAGAGCAACAAAAGTGTCCTATGAGAGTGTCCCACAAGAGTGACATACAAGAGTGTCCCACAAGAGTGTCCTACAAGATTGTTTCGCAAGAATCCTACAAAAAGTGTCGCGCAAGGGTGACAAACAAGAGTGCCCCACAAGAGTGTCCTACAAGAGTGAGGTCTGACAAGAGTTTCCTACAAGAGTGCCCCACAAGAGTGTCCTACAAGAGTGATGTCTGACAAGAGTTTCGTACAAGAGTGTCCCACAAGAGTGTCCTACAAGAGTGTCCCACAAGAGTGAGTGTCATACAAGGTGTTCCACAAGAGCGCGCAAGACTATCCCACAAAAGAACGTGCCCTACAAGAGTGTCCCACAAAAGTGTCTCCTACAAGCCCTACAAGAGTTGTTTGGGTGTTTGCTTTCGACAATAAGAACGTAGCCCCGCAAGAGTGAATGCCATACCAGAGTGTCCAACATAAAATGTCCTACGAGTGTGTCCCACAAGAGTGTCCTACAAGACTGTTTCGTAAGAGTGTCCTACAAGAGTGTTCCGCAAGAGTGTCCCACAAGAGTGTCCTGCATGAGTGTCCCAAAAGAGTCCTACAAGAGTGTTCCGCTAGAGTGCCCCCACAAGAGTGTCCGACAAAAGTGTCGTACTACGAGAGTGTCCCGCGAGAGTGACGTACAAGAGTGTCCCACAAGAGTGTCCTACAAGACTGTTTCGCAAGAGTGTCCTACAAGAGTGCTCCGCAAGAGTGTTCCACAAGAATGTCCTACAAGAGTGTCCTACAAGGGCCCCACAGGAGTGTCCTACAAGAGTGTCCCGCGAGAGTGACGTACAAGAGTGTCCCACAAGAGTGTCCTACAAGACTGTTTCGCAAGAGTGTCCTACAAGAGTGTTCCGCAAGAGTGTTCCACAAGAATGTCCTACAAGAGTGTCCTACAAGGGCCCCACAGGAGTGTCCTACAAGAGTGTCCCACAAGAGTGTCCTACAAGACTGTTTCGCAAGAGTGTCCTACAAGAGTGTTCCGCAAGAGTGTTCCACAAGAATGTCCTACAAGAGTGTCCTACAAGGGCCCCACAGGAGTGTCCTACAAGAGTGGTCTGCAAGAATGTCCCACAAAGCGTTCCGAAAAGAATGTGCCCGACAAGAGTGCCCCACTAAAAGCGTCTCCTACAAGAGTGTCAAAAATTGTTTGGGTGTTTGCTTTCGAAAACGTGTTTGTATTCGGGTTCGTGGGTTCCATCTTGTTTCTTTAGCTATTATTTTAGTTTTTTGAGTTAAGTTATATATACATTTGTTTTGTGAAAACATATTGTGTTAGTATGTTAATAAAATTGTTTTATCTTCTTAATTAAAGCCACCACCTGCAAAAATGTCTGTTCAAGTGAGAACCAAATCTTGAAATATCAACACTGAAATAACGGATACGAGTTTTGCCCGGCAAGAGGTTTACAATACAATAGTTACCTGTTTCTTTACAACCTTTTTGGTTTTCGTATTATCTTGCGGCTTTTTTTTTCCTGAAGCAACACATCCCTTTAAAAAAGAAACTGTTTGCGCGTGGGCTCTTTATGAAACCCTTTTTTGAAGTCTATACAAAAATTGAAAAATCAATTGCGCAAAGGGGGTAGCCCAGCGAAGCCACAATCTTGAATAATATCACCCCTGAAATAATAGCTTTTTGCCAGGGAATATTACCGTACAATAGTTTACCTGTTTCTGTACAACCTCTCTGCTTTGTGTTTTCTTGTGGCCTTTTCGTTTCCTGAAGCATCCCACCCTAATTAAATTGCGCGTCGGCTCTTTGTGAAATCATTGAAGACTAATCAGAATTGAAAAATCAATTGCGCAAAGGGAGCCCAGTGAAGCTCAAATCTTTGAATAATATCACCCCTGAAGTTAGTGTCTACGAGTTTTGCCCGGAAGAAATTACAATACAATAGTTCACCGGTTTCTTTGCAACCTTTTTGCATTCTGTTTTCTTGCGACCTCTTCCTTTCCTGAAGCATCCCACCCCATGAAATCACCTTTTGCGCGTCAGTTCTTTATGAAATCGTTTGTTGAAGACTAAACAAAAACTGAAAAAACCAATTGCACAAAGAGAGTAGCCCAAATCTTTGAACAGCATCACCACTGAAATAATGTCTACGAGCTTTGCCCGGAAAAACATTACCATACAATAGTTATCTATTTCTTTGCAACCTTTCTGTTTTTGTCTTCTTGCGGCCTTTTCCTTGCCTGAAGCATCCCACCCCTTAAAAATCAAGACCTTTTGCGCGTCGGCTCTTTACGAAATCGTCTATTGAAGTCTTTACGAAACATTGAAAAATCAATCGCACAAAGGGAGTAGCCCACTAACACCACAATGTTGAATTATATCACCTCGGCAAAAATGTCTACGAGTTTTGCCCAACAATTTTTTTACAATACTGACAATAGTTACCAGTTTCTTTACAACCTTTCTGTTTTTTGTTTCCTGGCGGCCTTTCCCTTTCCTGAAGAGTCCCACCCCATAAACGAAAAAACATTTTGCGCGTCGGCTCTTTATGATCCTCTTTATTGCAGACTTCACAAATATTGAAAAAAATCAATTGCGCAGAGGGAGTAGCCCAGTGAAGCCCAAACCTTTGAATCATACCACCCCTGAAGTAATGTCTACGAGTTTTGCTTTCTGTTTTCTTGCGACCTTTTCCTTTCCTGAAGCATCCCACCCCATGAAATCAAAACATTTTGAGCGTCGGCTCTTTATGAAATCCTTTGTTGATGTCTATGAAACAAATTGAAAAAATCAGTTGCAAAAAGGTAGTAGCCAAGTGAAACCCAAATCTCGTATTATTATATCACCCCTGCAATATGTCTACGAGTTTTGCCCGGCAATTTTCACAATAGTATAGTTTACTGGTTTCTTTACAACCAGTAGTATAGTAGTAGTAGTAGTAGTAGTAGTAGTAG